AAATATATATATATATATATATATAAATTGATTAGTAGTATTTCGAGCCAGAAAGAGCCGAAAAATAACGAACAAATATTTATTCGTGTTGTTCGTATCCGGCTCGTTAACTTAGCGAACGAGCCGAGCACGAGCTTCTTAACGAGCCGAACACGATCTGTTCGCGAACAACGAGCCGTTTTGAGAGCCCTTCCACCACCATATCAAATGTTAGAAGTCTGATTTGTTTAAATTTCTTAAAACAATTTGTAAGTTATATTTAACGTACTTACTTTTATTCTAATTTCTTAAAAATTAATTTATCAGTGTTTTTCTATTACTTGTGCTTGCAAAACTAATTTAAATTCGTTAGAGATTTGACTTGATAAATATATATAGGTGTTGAATATGTAAATTCGTAAGAATTGTGTGGTATGTATGTAAATTCCCCTTTCCTCAATTATTGCAGATTTACTGTTCAAATCCGCGTCTATTAAGCAATACCGTGTGCTATTATGTTCACAAGATAACGAAATAGTCGCTACCAATAATCTTACTCTGAACCACTTTACACGTCAATTTAGGGTCTGTTTGGGGGCAGTTTGTGCGTTTCAGGATAATCTATTTATCCTGAAACGCGGCCCGCGAGCCGACCGCAGGGGTCGACCCGCGGCCTGCGTTTAGTATAAAAACCCAAACACAGTTTCGGATAAGCTGGTGAAACGCACGAACCAAACAGTACGGCGCCCGCACTTATAAGCTGCCTGAAACAGACCCTTAATTAAAACAAACCGGGCATTTTGACAGGTTGGTACAATGAATATTTTCTTAGGTGCCTGCCAATATAGAATTCCATCAAGAGTCGGTGCGCAAGGAGAAAAATTTGCTTGCATAAAACGTACGCAGCGTTACATCCGTTAGAGAGGTTATTCATAAGATATTAGGAGGTTATATCATTTATAACCTCCTTGTAACCTACTTGTACTGTCTAGTAAGTTTCACGTTTCTGTTTTTCATATATTTATAGGTTAAAAGTAGATTACAGAGAGTTTAACGTGGATATAACACCGTAATACCCTCTGAATAATCTCACTGACGTACATAACGCTGCGAACGTCTTACATACGCAAACTTTTCTCGTGTCCAAGGTGCGTTTTAGTTTAGTAAATAATTTATTTGCAGAAATTTAAAAAAAAAAATTATATATATTTGATATAAGGAATTATAAAAAAAATATTAAATATATAAATTCATTTTTATTGAATTGAAAATTCTGCCGATTCGATCGAATTTGAAATATGGCGTTCATATAAAATATTATCTTGGTTGAACCCAATTTCCTTTATTAAATTAAAATTTTGTTATAAGAAAATTTGGAAAAAAAAAAATTTATTTTATCTGATTTCAAATATTCAAATCATATTTGAAAGCAAGAATGCAATTATTTCTGTATAAAGCTACATCAATGTCATGTATAAATAAGGTTGTTGGAACCGGACCGGTAGAAGGAAAGGTTCAAGGTTTAAAGGTTAAACTAAGGTTGAACCAGGGTTCAATTGGAGGACCTAATAAATCATAAAACATAATATTTATATCTCACCCAATTCATATATATTTAAATAACTAACGCCTAAAATTCAATTTTAACAAATGTAATTTTCTTTATGTATGAAGACATGTATTTTATATTTTTTAAATTAAAATAATGATGTTTTATGTGATATGGACGATTTTGGTGGTATAAATATAAAAAAAAAATAGAGTTTTGGTGTTAAATATGTCAGTAAATAAAATTTAAAGGTATGTATGTAAATTAAATTTCTTTATAATAATCATTTTTTTAATATGATATGAGTGATTTGGGTGGCACAAATGTAAAAAAAATAGAGTTTAGGTGTTACATATATATATATTACATAAAATTGGGTGGTATGTATGTAAATGCCCGTAAACTAAACAATCCCTTAAAACCGGAGCTGGTTCAGTGGTTCAACTGTCGGTTCAATCCGGTTCCGGGCGATTCTATGTGGGGGTTTTTTTATGCCAACCAGAACCGAACCTATGACCGGATTACGATTGAACCGGTCGGTCTGGTCCGATTTTCTAAACCTTCGAGCATACATGTCCAAACTATTGACTTGATGCACTAAAAGGTTAGTTACAAAATTAAAAAAATTCCATATTTACATCAAATTGCAATTCATGAAATAAGCCAGAAGTACATGACATATCAATGCTTTTCAAAAATCCCCTTAAAATAACACCCTCATATAAGCTCCAGAAAATTTATCCCAAATATTAACCAAACAAAAAAAAAAAAAAAAAAAAAAAAAAAAAGGGGGGTGAAGCTGTAAGTGAAAAAGAATAAAAAGAATATAGAGATGAAGCAAAAATATTACATAAAAACTTCATAAATCCCTCCTACATAGAGGGCAAGAACCATTCCTCACAAGCCAGCTATCAATGCAACTCAAATGAAACATGTGCTGACAATATGGTAATCTCCTCGCTGTTTCCCCAACTTTAATGTCCTGAAAAACATTCATCATCACAATTCTTCAAGCTTTCATATATATATATATATATATATATATATTAAACAAATAAAGGAATGACTGGAGGCTATAATACGAGCACTGACAATCCCCCATGCACCTATCATTCGAGTATCACATCCTACACTCGGTGGAATCAAACCATGACTAGAAGGTACTTACAACTGACAAGCAGATGTCCAACCAACTGATCTGAGTACGCGGCGCATATATATATAAAAAGGACATTTACATATAAAAGCATACCACTCAATTCTCATATATTTACATAATAACACCTGATTTTGTTTTTTGTTTTCTTTCTGCATTTACAACACCCAAACTTTCAGATCACATGAAACAATTCCACAATTTTATCTTTTAAAAATGAAAATACATCTTTTGATGCATAGATAAGGCGGTAGTAAAATTGAAGTTTAGTTGTTAGATATGCAAACACATAGAAATTGAGTGGTGTTTATGCAAAATCTTTCAAAAAAATATTAAGATCAAAATCATTCAAGCTAAATGATTGTGCCAACCTGCAAACAAACAGAGCAGCTAATCCTTTGTCCAGAGCGATCTAAGTTGTTTTCTGAAGTGATCTTAAGCTTTGGTAACAAATCGACAGAATCTTTAGACAAGCCGCGAATGTCACCAATTTCAAAGATATCAAGAACGTCAGCATATGGCAGCTCCAAAGCACTCATCTGAAGGTGAAGGAACAGTATGATTCAGATGTTCTATGAATCAAAATCTCATCTTTATAACAATGATGTTTTCAGAAAATAATATTATCTATCATATGTGATTAATTTTGTTCATCTGCAAATAGAACAGTTTAGAGGCATAATAAAAACCTGACTCTGCACTGCGCTTTGGACTGCAGGGCCAACTTTCTCACGAACAAGTCTTCCACTCAGAAGACTGCAAATGATGTCAGCCTGCAGGAGAAAGAAAGAAGAAGATGAAACAATGATCGTTTTCTGCGCAAAGAAAAAGTAATACTAGAAAGTTCAGATTTTTGGAGATTATTTGTGATTTTAGCTTACCACATAGAAGATGCTACAGATTCCAGATTCATGGGAATGCCAGAGAGCAACAGATGATTCAACAGTCTCAATGGAGAAAACTGCTCCAGAGATGGCTCCAATGGCAGCTCCTCTGAGTAATCCAGTCTCTGTTGCAAGGCCAATCATCGCTCCTGTAACAGCGCCAATTGGAGCTCCAACTGAAGAAAAATTACATTTTTTTTTCAGTGCAAGATGTTGTTTGGGGAATTCTATCAAGCAGTAGAAGGGCAAGATTGATTGAGTTCATTCACAAAACGCCTAGCCTGAACCATTAAAAACTTGAGCCGAATAAACAAAAATTAGGAGAAAAATTGCAGGTTTGAGCAATCAAGATTCGAACCTAGAGCGAAAACGCAAGTGATTAAAGCAACGATGAGTCGTTCCACCATCTTAGAACCAGAGGAGCTCTCATCATCTCTTCTTCCTTCATCGGTGGGCGTAGAAGAAAGAGGAGGGCGAGGAAATGGTGATGAAGTTAAGAAATCCATGCCCGCTTCTGTGAAAGATAGAGTTTTTTTGAAATATTTATAAAGAGTTTCGTGAGACAGCGATAGAGAAAGTGAGTGAGACAGGTGCTTAAGGGCTAAGTTAACCAGGAGAAAGGGGAAGGAGGGGAAGGAGGGGAAGAATAAAACATTGGGAGGAAGAAAAATGCTACCAGCTACGCAATAAATGCAGATTTGGGCGTTTGAGGAAGGGATAGCCGTGTTGAGTTTAATGGATTTGATTCTATTTTTCTTCCAAAAGGGTTAGAAGAAGAGAAATTATTTCATACGAAGCACATACACGACAATGCATGCGAACTCAAGTAATATGCCGTCAACTGATATGAAGTTACAGAGGTTATTGGGAAGTTATTAGGAGGTTATCGCGGGGGTTAATGTAGGGTTTGAACCGCAGAGGTTATTGAATGTTTATTTGAGTGAAACCGCGTAGACTATCGAGGGTTATTGAGGGTTTATTGTAGTATTATTAGAGTTAATGCTTCAATAACCTTTCAATAACCCTCCAATAACTCTCCCAAATAATCTTCGCGGTTCCACTCCAATAACCTCTGCGGTTTCACTTTAATTTTTTTTAGATGGACCCGATACAACACAAAAGACGGGATATCGCACGTAGAGCTTCATACGTGCTCCATATGAAATAATTTCTCCAGAATGAGCGTATATTATGTGTGGGATTTGTATGCGTGAGATTTTGTCAACTTCTGATAATATTGTAATGATGTCATAGCGATAAATCTTCATCCATTCAAACCCATCCTATTTGCGTAATATTGTTCCTGCAACAAGGGCTAATCTGAGAGATTTTATTGAAAAGTTGAAATTTTTTTTGCAAGACTTGAACTGGTCCAATTCTTCTACCGTGTAAATCCTAGGAATGGAGAAAAGTCGAGTCAAGATAGGATTTTTTTGTTAAGCTTTTGAGCTAGGATTAAAGTTAGGAAGTTTCCAAGGAGATGGGGGTAAGCAGGATCTTGAGTTTGTTTTGTTTGCTTAATAATAATGATAGAGTTTTGCTACAGTCTGATCTAAAACTTTAATTTTTACATTCTAATAATATAAACTATGGTGTGGGGGGGGGGCTCATGGCACATTGATCAAAGAAATTGGTTGTATTTATGAAGGTGATAGATTTGAGCCTCACACATTATGATTTATTGTTTATCATTTCAAATAAAGAAAAAAAAATACTGCTTAAAAGGTTTTTTTATATGTTGGTGGCAATTTTAACTTCAATAACATGCTCAAAATGGTTGTTAACATGAAAATAATAGAGTTTAACATGGCAATATATATTATAATTGCCCATTCTTCTTATAGCTTTATAAGTTAAGCTTATGATATTAAAACTTAAAATATAGAGGTTTTCTGTTATGGTCAAGGCTAAAGGTATTATGGTCGGCAATGTCAAGAGTTAATAATTAGCACAAATTGATGGCATATGACTTCAATCCAAAAACAAATGCATGAATATAAACATCGGTTGGTTAATGGTGTCCAATGAAGTGAAGTATTAAATAATAGGCAGAGGTGGGCATCTGAAGTAAGGTATTTTAAAACAAAGAACATCAACATTGATCAACCATGATAATTGGTAATAATAAGATGCCAGAATTTGGGTGTTGAAAGATAATGGACATCAATGTCGCTCACTGTCTAATATTAGATGATGGATGAAGTTAGATGTTGGAAGGTAATCATTGGAAAATAATGTGAATTAATTTCATTTGACACCGGATATTATACAATGGCTAATAATGGGCCTCAAAAGTTTGGTATATAAAGGTGATTAATGTGATCAATCTTATTTCAAGGGAGAAATCCTAATGTTCAAGGTGGTCGGTGAGAAGTTCAAATGGATAGAAAACTAAAGATGTTGATTCAAAACCTCGAGTAGCATTTAAAGCCTTAATATCTTCTATGAATCTTACATTTTTATCTACTAAAATCTATGTATAATATGTACAAATAAGGCTTGCTTTTTTATCTTAGAAAGGAAGGCCTCGTTTCGGGAGGCATCTTCCTTCCATTGTGTTGTTAAGTGAAGACGGTAATATGCTTTTATTTTGACCCTCAATTAATGAACTATGGTAAAAGGGCACTTTTGTAATGTGGTACCGCTCACCTACCACATCTCACCAACCGTTCACCTACCGTTTACCTACCGCTCACCTACCTCCCATCTACCAGTCTCTTGCTTCTATAAATAGAGAGGGTATGAGGCTTAGGAGAGCAAGGAAAGAAATCTTAAGGGTGTGAGGCTTTTGAGAGGAAAGGGAGAAGATATCTTAAGCTACCACAAAGGAGGAGAGAATAGCTATAGAGTTAGAGAGGAGGAGAGCATCTTGAGGTCTTGTATCAAGGTGTCGTTTGAGAGGGAGGCCATAGAAGGAAGATGAGGATTCATCTCTATGTATAAGCTATGTATTCTCCATTTCTTTTGCCTTAGTAAAATATTTTATTGATTCCCTCCCGTGGACGTAGATCCAGTTGGATCGAACCACGTAAACGATCTGTGTTTGCTTGTGTTCTTTTCGTCTCATTTCTATGCCAGGAAGTACATATCTCACAACATATGCGAAGTATCCTTTGGTGATAGATCGTTGCTCAAGCGTCCGTCATCGCTGCTCCATAAAAACGACACTTTTTTTGTTTTAAAATGTAAAGGCCGGGCTACGTCTTCAAACGGGACCGAAGTGAGCATATTTATAAATTCCTACGTTTAATTCATGTTTCCATTTTGTTTTTTTGGCATTTTAAAATAAAATATGATTAATTAGGAAAACTCTACCTTAATTTGTTGTCAACGATTCAAATTAAATTAATCAACTCTTTAATTTTTTTAATATTATGTTAATGCCGACAGTCTGAAGCTATCTCCTATCATTTTACTTCTCAAAAAACATAGGGTATTTCCATCATTATTCTCTTTGCTTATCCCAAACTGCACGGTTTAAGAAAGATAACCATAACATAAAGGAAAAGTGTATGTAAATTTAAACGCACCATTAATTTAATGACAGTGGTTAAGTTTAAATTTCATACGTTCAGTTTAGCGTTAGACTGATCCTTGGTTTAGTATTAATTAGTGCAGTACAATTAGTTTATTTAATAATTAGTTTAGTGTTATGGGAAGATTTATATATATACCACTCTGATCCAATGTATTTAGATATCTAACACCTAAATTTCAAATTTTAGATACGTACCACATTGCCTATGCATCAGATATTGTATTTCACCTTTTAAAAGTCAAAATGGGGTTTGTTTTTCGATATGATATGAAAGATTTGGGTGCTATACATGAGAAAAATAAAGTTTAGGTGTTAAGTTTAGGTGTTGTTTAGGTGTTAGTTATGTAAATACATAGGAATTAAGTGGTATGTATGTAAATGCCCCTTAGTTATAATATATTTGTTATATAGTCTTTCCTATGAGTGTGCCAAAAGGTTAACCACGAGAAAAATTTGCGTGCGTAAGACGTATGCAGTGCTGCGTACATAATGAATGTTATATTCAAGTTATATCTGCATTATATATGCGTTATATCGCTTGTAACTTCAATGTAACCTCCATATAACCTATCTGTAACATACATGAACATATAAATAAGTTTCGCACTTCTGTTGTCACATATCCATAGGTTACATGTAGATTACATGGGACTTACATGGAGGTTACAGGGCATATAGCATGAATATAATGCTGATATAACACGAATATAACCTCCATTATGTACGCAGCGCTGCATACGTCTTATGCACGCAAATTTTTTCCGGTTAATATATATTGAATTATACATCTATAATTACATTAATAGCTAGGATGTAAGATTTATAAGTAAAAAAAATCAGCAGAAAGGACAAGAAAATATAAATATTTGTGATCGCACACGTCAGGCTTCGGAAAAGATTACACTGCGTGCATGGTTTTGTCATTAAGTAGGATTTTCATCTGTTGTACAGATACATTTTTCTATAATTAGGTTGATATTAATTATTTCATAAACTCAATATTTAATGAGATGTCAACGGTACTTACATATACATCGTTAACTTTAGTTGATGAAATGGAAAGGAACATTATTTTATTCGGATTTGATTGTATAAGAGATTAAACAAATGATATGATGCAGTCTAGTTTTTGAAATTTTGTTTAAAGTAATCAAAGAGCATTAGTTCAAGTGGTATGATGTTTGGTCATTTGGATAGGAATAAAAAAATATTTTCGCTTGTTGTATGACAGTCGGCTGTATCAGGCATTTTGTGATGTTTTGCCTTGTAATTTATAATTGATTTCCGGCGTCCGACTAATTAAATATTTGTAATTGCCGAGTCATTTTAGGACGTTGCGCCTTGTATAGTTCATGAATTCATACCATTCAGAAGAGACCTTGTGAGATGGGTTGATGGGGTGAAGAGAGATGGAGTTCTAGGTCCTAAAGGTAGTTTTTCCTATGCCTTACGTGTATCACTTATAATGTGTCGATCTTGCCCTCGGTGGGCTACAAAAAGAGAAAAAAATAAAGACATGTTACATTATAGGATATTTCGTGGGAAGTTTAGTGATTGTGGCTCTTATTCTTGGGATTGATATGAGCGGAGTGGCTTCAGAAGAGAAGTTGACAACTTCTACGTCGACTATTGATGATCCAAAGGTTGTTACAAGGGTTCATATGTTTGATCCCATGAATGAATGAAAGAAATCTAGCTTGTTGTTTCTCCTAGAGCTTAGTTATAGTGACAAAATGTATATCATTTTTTTTTCTGATTTGTTTCGTCGTCTTGATTAAAGGGACAAATTTTTTTTTTTTTTTTTGATAATTTTCTATAGAGATATCTGCTGAATAGCGACCTAAACAGACAATACTCCTTGAGAATCCTACTAGCACAGTTATAGAGGAGGTGGTGGAGTAGGTCATTAATATGATTGTTGAGGTTAGATTATTTGTTGGCAAACTCGTCCTCGAAGGTAATGTAGATTACATTGGAGCATCTAGTTTGACAATTATATACATTTGTCCTACAGTTCCCATCATAACATACAGTTCCCATCATAACATGCTCGACAAGACTGAAGGGGCCTAGCTCGAAGGAGAATGAAGGTTTTAGTGTATGGTGGGAGCTATAGAGGTCTTCTACGTCTACATAATCGAAGATGGAGAAAAGGGCTTGATAGACACCT